ACTCTGTCGTTCTCTTTTTTAAAATAGTGATCGTAGCATTGCACTCTTATAAAAGTTATAAAAACAAAAGTTGTTTAGAAAGCAATAAATAATGGAACGCACAGGAAGACCGAAAAATGCCTATTGGAAAGAAGGAAAATTCGAGGAAGTCTTCATCGAAGGAAAACTGACAGCTTTTTGCCCGTCATGTAAAAAAACGCTGCAAAATACGGCTGAATCAAGGTTGAGGGCTCATAGGTTATTTATGTTTTTTTTAAAGTTATTTTTACTCCAGAAATTATATGTAAATAAGTATTTAATATAGGTAACTCACAATCAGTGTAGTGTTAATTATTTGTCTTAACTTTATCTATATTTCATACTTTTACACACATTGGCACATAAGTAAGTCTTGTCATGAGTTTTGTACATACGTAAGTTAAAATTATATTTAACATACACAGAAACTACTGCCCATTAAAAACGAAACTGATTCGTCGTCAGATGAATCTGATATGAAAAATTTAGACAGACAACACAGAAGTCGAAGTGGCATTGGCATTGGCATGTCTGAGAAAAATGATGTCGAAGTACTCGTTACATCAAAAAGGATGAGTTCGATAAAAGTTCCTCAGGTAGAAAGCTATTTTTAATATTTTTAATTTACATTAAAGTCGATGTAAAGCTATTTTGTGATTTAGATAAGCAATAATTCATCTTTAACTAGTGAAAAAAAAATAGAACCTTCATCTGAGTGCACCTCTGCTAACAAAAAAAAAACAAATTAAAAAGAGCAAAAGCATCACATCGTTTGTTGATACTATTGAGAGTCTCACTTATTCGCAAATTAACAGAAATTTGTTGAAATTTTTAATAAGTCATAACATTGAACTGACTAGTACAGAATCACAATATTTCGTCGATTTTGTCAAACAACTCAGACCGGCATACACACCACCTACTTTAACAGAATTATCTGAAAAAATCCAGAATGATTTATACATAAGTTTAGATGTTCGCGAGCTCAAATGTAAAAATAATTGTGTTTTATTAATAAGTGACCAAAAACGATCTAGCTGTTTTGTTAGCGTTGTAAGAGATCAAACTAACAGTAGTGCTTTTATTCATTGTTGTAAAAATTCTGAAAATGAAAAAGATTTTATTTCTGAATCTCTTAAGGTAGTACATGAAAATTCTAAAGCTAAAATTTTTTCTATTGTATCTAACATTAAAGAGACTGTACCTCATATATTTGAAGGCAAGGATACCTCATATTGGTACTTCTCTTGTTTATCAGTAAGAATAAAGTCACTAGCCGACAATATTCTCAGTCATAATTTTGTCAGTCAAGTAACAACTATTTTAAGAGAATTTTCTCAGGATGAAAATAAAAAAAATCTGTTAAACCGAGGAGGTGAAAAAATGTATGATTTCAGCTCAGATTTTGAACATAACGTGTCAAACGTTTTTTTACCATTATTTAAGAATCT